GTCATGATGGTGCCATATTATATCGGGAGTCATGATGGTGCCATATTATATCGAGTCATGATGGTGCCATATTATATCGGGAGTCATGATAGTGCCATTTTATATCGAGTCAGGATGGTGCCATATTATATCGGTGTCATGATGGTGCCATAATATATCGGAGTCATGATGGTGCCATATTATATCGGGAGTCATGATGGTGCCATAATATATCGGGAGTCATGATGGTGCCATATTATATCGGGAGTCATGATGGTGCCATATTATATCAGGAGTCATGATGGTGCCATATTATATCGGAGTCATGATGGTGCCATATTATATCGGGAGTCATGATGGTGCCATATTATATCGGGAGTCATGATGGTGCCATATTATATCGGGAGTCATGATGGTGCCATATTATATCAGGAGTCATGATGGTGCCATATTATATCGGGAGTCATGATGGTGCCATAATATATCGGGAGTCATGATGGTGCCATATTATATCGGGAGTCATGATGGTGCCATATTATATCGGGAGTCATGATGGTGCCATATTATATCAGTCATGATGGTGCATATTATATCGGGAGTCATGATGGTGCCATATTATATCGGGAGTTGGATGGTGCCATATTATATCGGGAGTCATGATGGTGCCTATATATCGGAGTCAGGATGGTGCCATATTATATCGGGAGTCAGGATGGTGCCATATTATATCGAAGTCATGATGGTGCCTATTATATCGAGGAGTCATGATGGTGCCATATTATCCCTCCATCCTCTCCTATCTATCCACTATCCCACAGGTCTATCTATCGATCTATCCAGTACCCTACAGGTCTATCTATCCACTCTATCCTCTCCCTATCTATCATCTACCCCGTTCATCTATCCTTACCCTTTCCCTCCCTATCTATCCACTATCCCGCAGATCAATCTATCCACTCCACCCTCGCCTATCCTATCTATCATCTACCCCGCAGGTCTATCTATTGATCTATCCACTATCTCACAGGCCTCTCCACCTTGATCCACCTGGCCACTTGACGTTAACAGGTGGATACTTGAGACAACAGGCTAAGTCTCCCGATAGGCGCTGGGAGTGCTCTTGGGGCCATGAGTACAGCTTGATGTGAGAGAGAGAAGATGAACCATTAAAACAAAAACACAAATATAATCAAAACAATAAACAAGATAATTAAACAAAGTGACTCACGCCAATAGCTACATCACACACACTTCCGTATATCTTGACCTCTGACCCATACCTGTGGCACCTGACCTTCATGTGACCTTCGACCCCGGGGCATGAGGTTGGTGCCATGGTCTTCGTCTATTGGTGAAGTATTTTCTGGTGGAGTTTTTATCAATATATATCAATCTGTTTCAGAGTTATGTCCGGACAATAACTACTACTACATACACACAGACAGAGAGTACACACACACACATACATAGAGTACACGTACACACACACACACAGAAGAGTAAATGTGTTAAAACACAGGGCATTCTCTTGTTATGGGTTAAATGTCAAGCTCTGATAAAACGTCAAAAAGAAAAAAGACTAAAGAATAAATGTCAACACGACGAGAGAATTTAATACAACAAGTAAAAAATAAATGTCAAGGAATGGCGGAAAAAACTGAACCTGCAATAAACTTTATAACGAGAGTTAAATGGCTTCACCTCTGGGGAAAATTATATATATATATATATATATATATATATATATATATATATATATATATATATATATATATATATATATATATATATATATATATATATAACTAATCCAATTCAACTAATTGCATACATATGAACAACGTATAACTAAACTCAACAGACTCACATACAATGAAATATCGAGACATTAATCGTAGTGGACAGTTAGCCGTGACGGGCTTGGTTCCTACTAACGCTACTTTACCATGAACGAGCTCTGACTGGGTAATTAATCAAAACGACAATGCACAGAACCTATTAGAAATTGACCTAATCTCACCTCACCTACCTACCTACCCTCACCTCACCCACCTACCTACCCCTCACCTCATCTACCTACCCTACCCTCACCTCACGTCCTGTCCTCACCGCCACCCCTCCACCACCCCTCACCTCACGTCCTGTCCTCCACCTCATCTACCTACCTACCTACCCTCACCTCACCCACCTACTACCCTCACCTCATCTACCAACCTACCTCACCTCCGTCCTGTCCTCACCTCATCTACCAACCTACCCTCACCTCACGTCCTGTCCTCACCTCATCTCCCAACCTACCCTCACCTCACGTCCTGTCCTCCACCTCATCTCCCCTACCTACCCCTCACCTCCCGTCTCCTCCTCCCTCATCTCCCCTACCACCTCACCTCCACGTCCTGTCCTCACCTCATCTACCTACCTACCCTCACCTCCACGTCCTGTCCTCACCTCATCACCTACCTACCCCTCACCTCACGTCCTGTCCTCACCTCATCCCCTACCTACACCCTCACCTCACGTCCTGTCCTCACCTCATCTCCCCTACCTACCCTCACCTCACGTCCTGTCCCTCACCTCATCTCCCCTACCCTCACCTCACGTCCTGTCCTCACCTCATCTCCCCTACCTACCCTCACCTCACGTCCTGTCCTCACCTCATCTCCCTACCTACCCTCACCTCACGTCCTGTCCCCACCTCATCTCCCCTACCTCCCTCACCTCACGTCCTGTCCTCACCTCATCCCCTACCTACCCTCACCTCACGTCCTGTCCCTCACCTCCCTCCCCTACCTCCCACCTCACGTCCTGTCCTCACCTCATCTCCCTACCTACTCCTCACCTCACGTCCTGTCCTCACCTCATCTCCCTACCTACCCTCACTCACGTCCTGTCCTCACCTCATCTACTCACCACCACACCTCACGTCCTGTCCTCACCTCACCTCACCCACCTAATATCACCTAACTTCCTAACCTGTGCAATGTCGTTTGTTTTCCCATCATCAGCCAAACAACATCTCTGGAAAAAAATACCTAAACGCAATGGATATTTCGCCGTTTTGTTCGCCGGTAATGGAGATTAACCAATAAGAGCGCACTCACGGTAAAATAGCGTTAGTAGGAACTTACCAGGTCATGGCAAAATATCCACTACGATATTTAAACACCTAAAGATTCTAAACGAACAGACAGACAGACAGACAGACACGGAGGAGAGTGAGGTAAGGGCATGAGGAGAGGAAGTGAGTGAGGAGAGAGGTGAGGAGAGTGGGAGGTCAGAAGTTGAGGAGAGGAGAGGACGTCGGGTGTTGTGAAGCGGTGATTGGTCGCGACACTTTCAACAAGAGCCAATGACGCTTAATCTGCCGCTCCCCTCAACCAATGACGCACACTTCACTGCTGACCTCTCACATTAATTACGTCATCAATGTAATCACTGATAAACACATTACGTCACCAGACACTATCACACTCCGGGGCGCTGATTGGCTATTACCCTCAGGTCAACCCCCAATCACTCAGCCAATAAGCCATCCATCTGCCCATCTATCTTGCCAGTCAGTCAGTCAGTCAGTCAGTCAATTCTCTGGTGTCATCAATCCTTCATCCATCTACGTCTTTCAATTTTCTCTCCATCAATCTTTAACTCTCCCTCCCTCTATTATCTCCACCACTCCACTTCCTTCCCTCTATCCTCTCCACCACTCCACTTCCCTCCCTCCCTCCTCCATCCGCCCACTTCATTCTTCCATCATTTATCAATCAACATCCTCCTTCCTTCATTCCTTCTTTCTCCTTCCTAAACTCTCTTCTCCACTTCTTCATTTATCCATCCCCTCCTCCTTCCCTCATTCCTTAACTCCCACTTCTCCTTTTATCCTTCCTTCCTTACTTCTCTTGCTTTATCATTTATCTATCTATATCCTCCCTCCTCCTCCCAATATATCCTCCTTCCTCCCTCCCTCCCCCTGAATTTATCCCCTAACTCTCCTTCCTTCCTTCCCCTTCCTCACTCCTTTCCTTCTTTCCCTCCCTCCATCTTTTCATTTTCACGTTTTATCATCCCCCCATCCCGAGACAATCCCAGACGCGGGGGCCTCTTTGAATACGGGCCAAAGAGCCTAATTTACGAACCCAGTTATCTTGGCAGCGATAGTCGGCTGTTCTGTGGGGGGCAAGATAGTGCTAAAGTCGGCTGTCTGAGGGGGGGTTCAAGACAGTGCTAAACTCTCGGAGGGGGGCAGGAGGGACGTGGGGAGAGATAGAGTAAATCGATTGTGTTTTGGTGGGAAGATAGTGCTATAATCAGTTGTGGCAGGCCATTTTAGGTCGAAGATCGTATAATATAATAAGGATTCATTCACCTTAACACGACACAGTATCTCAAAAAGTATCTGTCACTCGTTATGTCCCGGGAGGGTTGGTATGTGGCCTTGTGTCCTGGAAGGTTGGTATGCGTGGTTTTGTGTCCTGGGAAGGTGGTGTGGCTCTTGTGTCTGGGAAGGTTGGCGTGGCTCTTGTGTCCCGAAGGTTAGTATGCGTGGCTCTTGTGTCCTGGGAAGGTTGGTATGCATGGCTCTTGTGTCCGGGAAGGTTGATGCGTGGCTCTTGTCCCGGGAAGGTTGGTATGCATGGCTCTTGTATCCGGAAGGTTGTATGCGTGGCTCTTGTATCCCGAAGGTTGGTATGCGTGGCTCTTGTGTCCCGGGAAGGTTGGTATGCATGGCTCTTGTATCCCGGGAAGGTTGGTGGCGTTTGTATCCCGGAAGGTATGGGCTTGTGTCCAAGGTTGGATGCATGGCTTGTATCCGGAAGGATGTGGCTCTTGTGTCCCGGGAAGGTTGGTATGCATGGCCTTTGTATCCCGGGAAGGTTGGTATGCGTGGCTCTTGTGTCCCGAAGGTTGGTATGCGTGGCTCTTGTATCCCGGAAGGTTGGTATGGGATCCCGGAAGGTTGGTATGTTTTTGTATCCCGGGAAGGTTGGTATGCGTGGCCTTGTGTCCCGGGAAGGTTGGTATGCATGGCTCTTGTATCCCGGAAGGTTGGTATGTGGCTCTTGTGTCCCGGGAAGGTTAGTATGTGTGTGCTTTGTGTCCCGAAGGTTGGTATGCATGGCCTTGTGTCCCGGAAGGTTGGTGTATGGCTCTTGTGTCCCGGAAGGTTAGATGCATGGCTCTTGTGTCCCGGGAAGGTATGCGTGGCTCTTGTATCCCGGGAAGGTTAGTATGCGTGGCTCTTGTGTCCCGGGAAGGTTAGTATGCGTGGCTCTGTGTCCCGGGAAGGTTAGTATGTGGCCTTGTGTCCCGGGAAGGTTGGTATGTGGCTCTTGTGTCCCGGGAAGGTTAGTATGCATGGCTTTGTGTTCCCGGGAAGGTTAGTATGCATGGCTCTTGTATCCCGGAAGGTTGGTATGCATGGCTCTTGGGTCCCGGGAAGGCTAGTATGCGTGGCTCTTGTGTCATACTAACCATACTACATTTGGTAACCGAACATCATATTAATTACGTCGAAATAAATCCACAATACACCATTTATTTAAGATAATCTGTATAGCAAAGTCAATACAGGTCCCAAAATCTGTCCTCTGTGATCTCATAATGTTTCATATAAGTTACAGGTAGAGGCCAGTGGTACAGTTACAGGTAGAGGGCAGTGGTACAGTTACAGGTAGAGGCAGTGGGTGTACAGGTAGGAGGCCAGTGGTACAGTTACAGGTAGAGCCAGTGGTACAGTTACAGGTAGAGGCCAGTGGTACAGGTACAGGTAGAGGCAGTGGTACAGTTACAGGTAGAGGCCAGTGGTACAGTTACAGGTAGAGGCCAGTGGTACAGTTACAGGTAGAGGGCAGTGGTACAGGTACAGGTAGAGGCCAGTGGTACAGTTACAGGTAGAGGCCAGGTACAGTTACAGGTAGAGCCAGTGGTACAGGTACAGGTAGAGGCCAGTGGTGCAGTACAGGTAGAGGCCAGTACAGTTACAGGTAGAGGCCAGTGGTACAGTTACAGGTAGAGGCCAGTGGTACAGTTACAGGTAGAGGCCAGTGGTACAGGTACAGGTAGAGGCCAGTGGTACAGTTACAGGTAGAGCCAGTGGTACAGTTACAGAGGCCAGTGGTACAGGTACAGGTAGAGGCCAGTGGTACAGTTACAGGTAGAGGCCAGTGGTACAGTTACAGAGGCGGGGTACAGTTACAGGTAGAGGGCAATGGTACAGGTACAGGTAGAGGCCAGTGGTACAGTTACAGGTAGAGGCCAGTGGTACAGTTACAGGTAGAGGCCAGTGGTACAGTTACAGGTAGAGGCCAGTGGTACAGGTACAGGTAGAGGCCAGTGGTACAGGTACAGGTAGAGGCCAGTGGTACAGTTACAGGTAGAGGCCAGTGGTACAGTTACAGGTAGAGGCCAGTGGTACAGTTACAGGTAGAGGCCAGTGGTACAGGTAGAGGCCAGTGGTACAGTTACAGGTAGAGGCCAGTGGTACAGTTACAGGTAGAGGCCAGTGGTACAGGTACAGGTAGAGGCCAGTGGTACAGTTACAGGTAGAGGCCAGTGGTACAGTTACAGGTAGAGGCCAGTGGTACAGTTACAGGTAGAGGCCAGTGGTACAGTTACAGGTAGAGGCCAGTGGCACAGGTAGAGGCCAGTGGTACAGTTACAGGTAGAGGCCAGTGGTACAGGTAACAGGTAGAGGCCAGTGGTACAGTTACAGGTAGCCAGTGGTACAGTTACAGGTAGAGGCCAGTGGTACAGTTACAGGTAGAGGCCAGTGGTACAGTTACAGGTAGAGGCCAGTGGTAAAGCTACAGGTAGAGGGCAATGGCAGCACAGGTAGAGGCCAGTGGTACAGTTACAGGTAGAGGCCAGTGGTACAGTTACAGGTAGAGGCCAGTGGTACAGTTACGTAGAGGCCAGTGGTACAGGTACAGGTAGGGCAGTACAGTTACAGGAGGCCAGTGGTAGTCACAGGTAGAGGCCAGTGGTATAGTTACAGGTAGAGGCCAGTGGTACAGTTACAGGTAGAGGCCAGTGGTACAGCTACAGGTAGAGGCCAGTGGTACAGGTAGAGGCCAGTGGTACAGTTACAGGAGGCCAGTGGTACAGTTACAGGTAGAGGCCAGTGGTACAGGTTACAGGTAGAGGGCATGGTACAGTTACAGGTAGAGGCCAGTGGTACAGGTACAGGTAGGGGCCAGTGGTACAGGTACAGAGCCAGTGGTACAGTTACAGAGGCCAGTGGTACAGTTACAGGTAGAGGCCAGTGGTACAGTTACAGGTAGAGGCCAGTGGTACAGTTACAGGTAGAGGCCAGTGGTACAGTTACAGGTAGAGGCCAGTGGTACAGTTACAGGTAGAGGCCAGTGGTACAGTTACAGGTAGAGGCCAGGTACAGTTACAGAGGCCAGTGGTACAGTTACAGGTGAGGGCAGTGGTACAGTTACAGGTAGAGGGCAATGGTACAGTTACAGGTAGAGGGCAGTGGTACAGTTACAGGTAGAGGGCAATGGTACAGTTACAGGTAGAGGCCAGTGGTACAGAGGCCAGTGGTACAGTTACAGGTAGAGGCCAGTGGTACAGGTAGAGGCCAGTGGTACAGTTACAGGTAGAGGCCAGTGGTACAATTACAGGTAGAGGGCAATGGTACAGGTAGAGGCCAGTGGTACAGTTACAGGTAGAGGCCAATGGTACAGTTACAGGTAGAGGCCAGTGGTACAATTACAGGTAGAGGGCAATGGTACAGGTAGAGGCCAGTGGTACAGTTACAGGTAGAGGCCAATGGTACAGTTACAGGTAGAGGCCAGTGGTACAGATAGAGGCCAGTGGTACAGGTAGAGGTCAGTGGTACAGGTACAGATACAAATAGAGGCCAGTGGTACAGTCGTAGAGGTTCAGTAGTTGGGGGGAGATATTCTGTTTTATCTTCCAACTTGTGGCGATGAAGGCAAATTGCTGAGGCTTGGGATCTGTGCTCTTCAACTCTTCTTAACTCTCAACTCTCTCTCAACTCTCTCAACTTTCAACACACAAATAAGGAATATTTACCACACGGACCGAATCAAACATTGCGACTACGAGGGCGACATCAAAGGTATTGACTCGGCTCTCGCAAGGCGGCCACTGAGGATAAATACTTGAAGGTACTGGCTGGCTGGCTGGCTCGTCCTAATGTATACACAGTACCTTAACAAGATTTCTATGGATATAAGTATATGTTTCTATTACAACATACTCTCTATTCATGTGGGGAATCTCATCAATGGTTAGACAATGTTGATCTTGTCATAGAAACATTCACGTGAAATCTATGGGAATCTGTTAGGTTGTGTGTGTGTGTGTGTGTGTGTGTGTGTGTGTGTGTGTGTGTGTGTGTGTGTGTGTGTGTGTGTGTGTGTGTGTGTACATTTTACTGGAGACGCCCCTAATGTAATGACGTGGTGGAGATGAAGGGGGGGCTACAGTTGTGGTCATAATATTCTGGACATACGTGGTTTAGCTAGACGTACTGGTGAGTGAATGTTGTTTTTGGGTTATGTTTGTCAAGGTAATGTTGAAATAAAAACTGCATAGGTTGTTGAAATGTATATGAATCGCCTTATTTCCGTGGTCCTGTGAACACCCCCCCCACACACATACCCTGCCCCTCCCCACCCACACACACACTCTGCCCTCCCCACACACACACAGACGCCCTGTCCCCATCCCCCTACACACACACACACACACACCCCTGCCCCCATCCCCACACACACCCACCCTGCCCCCCCACACCTACCCTGCCCCTCCCCACCTACACACACACACACACACCCCTGCCCCCACACACACCCACCCCTGCCCCACACACACCCACCCCTGCCCCATCCCCACACACACCCACCCTGCCCCCCACACCACTCCCTGCCTCCCCACCCACACACACACACACACCCTGCCCCATCCCCCCCACACACCCACCCTGCCCCCACACCTACCTGCCCCTCCCCACCCCACACACACACACACACCCTGCCCCCACACACACCCACCTGCCCCCCACACACACACCCCCTGCCATGTCTACACCAGCCAGTAGTGGTTGTGCCGGCTGGTTTGGTAACAAGACCGATGATCAGGTCATCACCCCAGGAAGCTGAGTCGCACACCTGAAGATTAGCCCTCTGTAGCGGAGAGGCCAGACCTCTCATAGCAGAGCAGTTGCACACTCTCTCGTAGCGCTGCAGCCGCACACCTCCGTAGCGGAGAGGCCAGACCTCTCTCATAGCAGAGCGGCTGCACACCTCTCTCTGTAGTGCTGCAGTCGCACACCTCTCTGTAGCGTTGCAGCCGCACACCTTCTCCTAGCAGAGCGGCCGCACACCTCTCTTCCCTAGCAGAGCGGCTTACCACCTCTCTCCCCAGCAGAGCGGCCGCACACCTCTCTTGTAGCAGAGCGGCTGCACACCCTCTGTAGCAGAGCGGCCGCAGACCTCTCTGTAGCAGAGCGGCCGCAGACCTCTCTCCCAGCAGAGCGGCCGCACACCCTCTTCGTAGCAGAGCGGCCGCACACCTCTTGCAGCAGAGCGGCCGCAGACCTCTTCCCAGCAGAGCGGCCGCACACCTCTTCCTAGCAGAGCGGCCGCACACCTCTCTCGTAGCAGAGCGGCCGCACACCTCTCTCGCAGCAGAGCGGCCGCAGACCTTCTCCTAGCAGAGCGGCTGCACACCTTCCTAGCAGAGCGGCCGCACTCCTCTCCGTAGCAGAGCGGCTGCACACTTCTCGTAGCAGAGCGGCCGCACACCTCTCCTAGCAGAGCGGCCGCAGACCTCTCGGAGCAGAGCGGCCGCAACACCTCTTCTCGGAGCAGAGCGGCCGCACACCTTCTCTGCAGCAGAGCGGCCGCAGACCTCTCAGCAGAGCGGCCACACAGCCTCTCTCAGTGAGCAGTCGCACACCTCTCGTAGCAGAGCGGCCGCAGACCTCTCTGAGCAGAGCGGCTGCACACCACTCTTCCTAGCAGAGCGCCGCAGACCTCTCTCGTAGCAGAGCGGTCGACACCTCTCCCAGCAGAGCGGGCCGAGACCTCTGAGCAGAGCGGCCGCACACTCTCTAGCAAGAGCGGCCGCAGACCTCTGTAGCAGAGCGGTCGCACACCTCTTCTGTAGCAGAGCGGCCGCAGACCTCTTCAGAGCAGAGCGGTCGCGACACCTCTCTCGTAGCAGAGCGCGAGACCTCTCTCGGAGCAGAGCGGCCGCACACCTCTCCCAGCAGAGCGGCCGCAGACCTCTCAGCAGAGCGGTCGCACACCCTCTGCAGCAGAGCGGTCGCACACCTCTCGTGAGCAGAGCGTCGCGACACCTCTCGTAGCAGAGCGGTCGCACACCTCTCGCAGCAGAGCGGCCGCACACCTCTTCGGAAGCAGCCGCACACCTCTCTCGTAGCAGAGCGGCCAGAGACCTCTCTCGAGCAGAGCGGCCGCACACTTCTCCGGAGCAGAGCGGCCCACACCTCTGCAGCAGAGCGGCGCACACCTCCCGTAGAAGCGGCCGCAGACCTCTCTGGCGAGCGGCCGCACACCCTCTCTGGAGCAGAGCGGTCGACACCTCTCCGGAGCAGAGCGGCCGCGACACCTCTCTGCAGCAGAGCGGCGACACCCTCTTCGTAGCAGAGCGGCCAGACACCTCTCTCGCAGAGCGGCCAGAGACCTCTTCCTTGCAGCAGAGCGGTCGCACACCTCTGCAGAGCGGCCGAGACCCTCTGGGAGCAGAGCGGCCGCACACCTCTCTGGAGCAGAGCGGGTCAGAGACACCCTCTGGAGCAGAGCGGCCAGACACCTCTCAGAGCAGAGCGGCCGCACACCTCTCTGTAGCAGAGCGGCCGCACACCTCTCTGTAGAGAGAGCGGCCGCACACCTCTCGTAGCAGAGCGGCCGCATGACCTCTCTCGTAGCAGAGCGGTCGACACCTCTTCGTGAGCAGAGCGGCCGCAGACCTCTCTGAGCAGAGCGGCCACACCTCTTGCAGCAGCAGCCGCAGACCTCTCTCGTAGCAGAGCGGTCGCGACACCTCTCTGGAGCAGAGCGCGGCCGAGACCTCTCAGCAGAGCGCCGCACACCTCTTCTGTAGCAGAGCGGCCGCAGACCTTCGGAGCAGAGAGCGGCCGAGACCTTCTGGAGCAGAGCGGCCGCACACCCTCGTAGCAGAGCGGCCGCACACCTTCGGAGCAGAGCGCCGCACACCTCTCAGAAGCAGCCGCAGACCTTCGTAGCAGCAGAGCGGCCGCACACCTCTCTTCAGAGCAGAGCGCCGCGACACCTCTCTCTGTAGCAGAGCGGCCGCACACCTTCTGTAGCAGAGCGGTCAGACACCTCTCTGTGAGCAGAGCGGCCGCGAGACCTCTCTCTGTAGCAGAGCGGCCGCGACACCTTCCTCAGAGCGCAGCCGCAGACCTCTCTCAGAGCAGAGCGGTTGCACACCCTTCAGAGCAGAGCGGCCGCAGACCTCAGAGCAGACACCTCTTCGAGCAGAGCGGCCGCAGACCTCGGAGCAGGAGGCCAGAGACCTCTCGGAGCAGAGCGGCCGCGACACCTCTTCTCAGAGCAGAGCGGCCGCAGACCTCTCGGAGCAGCGGCCGCACACTCTTCAGCAGAGCGGCTGCACACCTCTCTGGAGCAGAGCGGCCGAGACCTTCTCGGAGCAGAGCGGCCGCGACACTCTCTTCGTAGCAGAGCGGCCGCAGACCTCTCGGAGCAGAGCGGGCGCACATCTCTCAGAGCAGAGCGGCCGCACACCTCTCTCAGCAGAGCGGCCGCACACTGTAGCAGGACGCAGACCTCTCGTAGCAGAGCGCCGACACCCTCTCTCGTAGCAGAGCGGCCGCAGACCTCTCTCGCAGAGCGGCCGCACACCTCTCTGTAGCGAGAGCGGCCGCACACCTCTCTAGCAGAGCGGCCGCAGAGACCTCTCTCGTAGCAGAGCGCCGCACACCTCTTCTCAGCAGAGCGGCTGCACACCCTCTGTAGCAGAGCGGCCGACACCTCTCTCAGAGCAGAGCGGCCAGACCTCAGAGCAGAGCGGCCGCACACCTCTCTCGTAGCAGAGCGGTCGCACACTCTTCGTAGCAGAGCGGCCGCACACCTCTCAGAGCAAAGCGGCCGCAGACCTCTCTAGCAGAGCCGGCCGCACACCTCTCTCGAGCAGAGCGGCCGCACACCTCTCGAGCAGAGCGGCCGCACACCTCTCGGAGCAGAGCGGTCGCACACCTCTCTGGTAGAGAGCGGTCCACACCTCTCTCAGCAGAGCGGTCGCACACCCTCTCAGAGCAGAGCGGTCGACACCTCTCTCAGAGCAGAGCGGTCGCACACCTCTCGTAGCAGAGCGGCCGACACCTCTCCTGCAGCAGAGCGGTCGCACACCTCTGTAGCAGAGCGGTCGCACCTCTCAGTAGCAGAGCGGTCGCACACCCTCAGAGCAGAGCGGTCGCACACCCTCTCTGCAGCAGAGCGGCCGACACCTCTCTGTAGCAGAGCACACGCTCACACCCTCTCTCGGCAGAGCGGTCACGAGGCCACTCTTTCTTATTTTTCATATGACGTCACATAGTCCCATAATGCAACGCCTATACCTACAAGATGGTGGACCGCTCATAGTATTTTGGGAGTTTTGACGTCACTACAAACTAGTGACCCACATCAGGGCCTGGGGGGGAATAATAATAATAATAATAATAATAATAATAATAATATTAATAAATAATAATAATAATAATAATAATAATAATCAATTATAATAATAATAATAATAATAATAATAATAATAATCAATTATAATATTGACAATAATATTAATATTAATAATATTAAAGGACTATAAATATATACAAATATTAAAAAACAGATAGTGAGAAACAATATATTTATATTGTGTTGTGAGAGAAACAATTGAGACCCTGCAATAGACGAGATAACGGTCAGAATTTTTTCGTAAGATGACAGGTCAATGGGTAAAGAAAACGCTTACATTTACTTTGGTAATGATATTTTTAAATAAATTGGGCCAAAAAGTGTAAAAAAAAAATAAAATAAAATAAATAATAATAATAATAATAATGGATAAAGTTACTAAAAAGTCACGTGACTGCGAAAATCTCTGATCGGTTGTGACGTCAAAGGTTGGCTCGAGCTGCCGAGTTAACAGGAATACAAGACTCGTGGCCATATAACAAGGTGGATATACACAAACATACCTTATTGTTAGGTTAAAATAAATTACTGCTCAAGTTCATCGTGTGTATTTACTTCTGCTTGATCACAAATGATGCAATAGACCGATAACTCCAACATGGAAGTTTCATCACTGTTCTCTATTTCATGTCTGAAAATTAAAGTTTTCGTCACTGACGTCTATTTAATGTTGTAGGACTAGGGACGAATATAGCCAGGGATGGGCTTGAGATGATCAGATGACATATGTAATTTAACGTACTTCCTAGCTGGATGGCGGAGTTCTTGATAATACCCAACTATCATAAAGACATCTGGCTAACCAACAAAGGGTTTGTAGAATTTGTAAATTTTGTAAAACAATTATCTTGTACTACATTTTCATTTCACTTAACCAGAAGACCTTATTAAGTAAATGCCTCGTTAGGTATTGGTGAAGAGACGTAATTTTATATAAGGTGTGTCGTGTCAACAGGTAAATATAGGACCCTAACAATGTTTTCTGCTCTCATCTGTGTATTCATTTAAATTATGTTACTTCTCCTAAATGACACAAACTTGCCAGCACCATATTTGCTTTAATATTGCTAATGATCGAGCTTGTTTACGTGTTCCGCTCTGTGTTTGAACTGATAATGTGCAGTACAGAACAAACACAATATTTTCCAGGTGTTACTCTCTGAGGTGGTTGGGTCTGCTGCTGGGTGTTATGAATGTTTAGAACCCGAGACGAAGATTTGAGAATTAGTGCAGAGGATGGTAAGAATCTAAGCACTTCCGGTAAAACAAATATGAACGGTAAATATGAATTTAAACTTAGCTTGTTCTGCAGTCATAGCTGACCAAAACAAAATAGATTATGTAACTAATTTACTGACTGGCATGGAGAGAGAACAGTTTTAGTATACCAGTTCAGGGCCAGGAGTCTTTTATTTCATTTTCTAACATACGGGTACATAATTATCAGTTGAGTTGATCATGGTTGTTAATTATCCTGGTACGATAAAGGACAACACACTGTAACTCTGTGCAGCTTATACCCCCATCATGGTATGAGGGGAACTGTTTAACTTTAACCCCAGCTTAACTAAGGGGTGAACCAATAACTTGATGTTATTTTGATCCACCTGTTACCTGATAACATACTCGTGAAAAAGAGTTACATTATGCTACTTGTCTTAGACGTGGCCGACCACCATCTATACTGACACACTGAGACCATAGTGTGAATTGAAGTTTTACATTTCAGGTTATAAATAGTATATTGATTAGTGTTAATATCCGTTGAAATTTATGCCAGAAGAGTTGTGGATATTTATTGTATAAAGATGATTGGCTGTGCTAAGTCACACTGTATATATGTGTGTTAGGCTCAACACAACAAACTGAGGTAAATGAAGAATTTTCGTTCGAATTACTCTCCCGTAGGTTATTTAGAGCTAAAATAACCCGGGGGAGGGAGGGCTCAATGTTCAGGTGGTCTGTAGAGTCATACACTGTGCTCTGGGGTGATGCCAGGCTAACCTGAGAGAGCATACTCAGGGCTGCGACCTCCACCTTTAATTAGGGGTGGAGTGACTGGCCGGGGATGGAGGACTGGTCGGTGGAGGACTGGTCGCGGGTGAGTGACTGGCCGGGGGTGGAGGACTGGCTGGGGTGGAATGACTACTGGGGATACACCGAGAAATTACACCCGTTAAGATTGGACAGACTTGACTGGTAGTGTTAACTGTATGTGACTGGGGAGTGGATGAACTGGGGAGGAGGAGGAAGAAGAGGAGGAAGGGGAAGAAGAGGAGGAGGGGAAGAAGAGAAGGAGGGGGAAAGAAGAGGGAGGAGAAGAAGAGAGGAGGGGGAAGAAGGAGAGGGGGAAGAAGAGGAGGAGGAGGGGGAAGAGGAGGAGGGAAAGAAGAGGAGGAGGAAGGGGAAGAGGAGGAGGGGAAGAAGAGGAGGAGGAGAAGAAAGAGAAGAAGGAGGAGGAGACGGAAGAAAAAGGGACAAAGGAAGGAGGAGGAAGGAGAAGAATGAGGGGGAAGAGGAAGAAAGGAAAAGAGGAGGAGTAGAGGAAAGTAAAACAAACGAACAAACAGACAGACAGACAGACAGACAGACAGGCAAACAGACAGAGAAACAGACAGACAGACAGACAGACAGACAGACAGACAGACAGACAGACAGACAGACAGACAGACAGGCAAACAGACAGAGAAACAGACAGGACAGACAAGCCAAGACAGAGAAAGGGGTCGAGTAGCCTCAACCGACACTGTCGACTGGGAGGGGTGAACTGAGACGGAAGACTGGGCTGACTGACTGAGACGGAAGGAAGACTGGGAGGGTGGACTGGGGAAGACTGGGAGGGAGGACTGGGGAAGAGAGGGAGGGAGAGAGGGAGGGAGAGAGGGAGGATTGGGAAGAGAGAGGAGAGAGGAGGATTGGGGAAGAGAGAGGGGAGAGGAGAGAGAGGATTGGGGAAGAAAGAGAGGGAGAGAGATTGAGGATTGGGGAGAAGGAGAGGGAGAGAGATTGGGGAGAGAGAGAGAGGGAGAGAGGGAGATTGGGAAAAGAAGCAGGGAGGAAGGAGGGAGCAGAAGAGGGAGGGAGAGAAGGAGGTTGAAGATAAAGACGACGCGGCTCTGAATACCTCCTCATCAGCCAGGCGATAAACTCGTGTTGACGGTCGGTCGAACGTGAGGACTGAAGTCAGTTACAGGGTACAATGAGGAGGAAGTCAGTTACAGGGTACAATGAGGAGTGAAGTCAGCGTTACGGGTACAGTGAGGGAGTGAAGGCAGGGTACAGTGAGGAGTGAAGTCAGCATTACTGGGTACAGTGAGGAGTGAAGTCGCGTTACAGGGTACAGTGAGGAGGAAGTCAGCATTACGGGGTACAGTGAGGGGTGAAGTCAGCATTACGGGGTGATGATGAAGTCAGCTTAAGAGGGTACAGTGAGGAGTGAAGTCAGCGTTACGGGGTACAGTGAGAGGAAGTCAGCGTTACAGGGTACAGTGAGGAGGAAGTCAACGTTACAGCTCACACTAAAACAAATCAAATCTAATTCAACATAACCCTAAGATAACCTCAACCCACCCCCCCTGACAACACCCAACCCCCCCTAACAACACCCTCCCCTGACAACACCCCCTGACAACACCTCCTGACAACATCCAACCTCCTGACAACACTACCATACACCCCACAACACCACCATACACCCCTGACAACGCCACCATACACCCCTGACAACGCCACCATACACCTCTGACAACACCACCATACACCCCTGACAACACCTACACCTCTGACAACACCACCACACCGACAACACCACCATACACCCCTGACAACGCCACCATACACCCCTGACAACGCCACCATACACCTCTACACAACACCAATACACCCCTGACAACGCCACCATACACCTCTGACAACACCACCATACACCCCTGACAACACCCACACCTCTGACAACACCACCATACACCCCTGACAACGCCACCATACACCCTCGACAACACCACCATACACCCCTGACAACACCCACACTCTGACAACACCACCATACACCTCTGACAACACCACCATACACCCTGACAACGCCACCATACACCCTGACAACACCACCATACACCCCTGACAACGCCACCATACACCCTGACAACGCCACCATACACCTCTGACAACACCACCATACACCCTGACAACACCCAACCTCTGACAACACCACCATACACCTCTGACAACACCACCATACACCCCTGACAACGCCACCATACCCCCTGACAACGCCACCATACACCTCTGACAACACCACCATACACCCCTGACAACGCCACCATACACCCCTGACAACACCACCATACACCCCTGACAACACCCACACCTCTGACAACACCACCATACACCCCTGACAACGCCACCATACACCCCTGACAACACCACCATACACCCCTGACAACACCCACACCCTGACAACACCACCATACACCTCTGACAACACCACACATACACCCCTGACAACGCCACCATACACCCCTGACAACACCGCCATATACACCCTGACAACGCCACCATACACCCCTGACAACGCCACCTATACACCTCTGACAACACCACCATACACCCCTGACAACGCCACCATACACCTCTGACAACACCACCATACACCCCTGACAACACCCACACCTCTGACAACACCACCATACACCCCTGACAACGCCACATACACCTCTCTGACAACACCACCATACACCCCTGACAACACACACCCTGACAACACCACCATACACCCCTGACAACACCCACACCTCTGACAACACCACCATACACCCCTGACAACGCCACCATACACCCCTGACAACACCCACCATACAACCC